AAAGGAATTTTTTAACTTAATTTTTTAAAGATAGAATTTACCTACAGTGAAATACATAAACCTGAGGGACTTTTGTTTTTTAAAGCATACGTACACAAAATGGAAGACTGAACAACAAAAACATCTGGAAGTTAGAATGTAGATTGACTGAATGATCCAAAGAAGTTAAATCTCAGCTGGGGAAGGTGGCTCATGCCTGTAATCCCAGCACTTTGGGAGGCCAAGGCAGGTGGATCTCCTGAGGTCAGGAGTTTGAGACCAGCCTGGCCAACATGGTGAAACCCCGTCTCTATTAAAATACAAAAATCAGCCAGGCATGGTGGTGGGTGCCTATAATCCCAGCTACTCAGGAGGCTGAGGCAGGAGAACTGCTTACACCTAGGAGGCAGAAGTTGCAGTGAGCCAAGTGGTTGCAGGGAGCCGATTTCATGCCACTGCACTCCAGCCTAGGCAACAGAGGGAGACTTAAGGAAAGCAATCTAAAGAACAATACCTCAGAACAGGTTAGGAATTGTTCTACAGAGGTATGTGAACATGATACTAAAAACAAAAGGATTGGTCAAATGATTTAAATATCGTCCCTTACTCATCCTTACAGAAACCTGGAGCCTTCCTCTCTAAACTAGAATGACACAGCCCAATAAAATTTCTGCAATGATAGAAATATTCTATATTTACTCTGCCCAATATGGTAGGCTCTTGGCAAAGGTGGCCACCAAGCACTTGAAATGTGTCTAGTGCAAATGAGGACCTAAACCTTTAATTTTAATTATTTAGATTTAAGCTGCTACATTAGCTAGTGGCTACCATATTGGATAGTGGATTCCTGGACTGGAAAGCTTTTCAACTGGTCCAGCTGAGAATGAGGTCATCTTTCTGAAAACATTTGAGTTAAATGAACATGAATGAGTGTTTAAATAATGAATGCTAAGACCTCCAGCTTTTCTCTCAGTTTAGCAACTAGACAGCTGGAAGCCTGCTTTGTTCTCTCCAAGCAGGAGACTCCTTCTTCTTTACGGAATCTGACCCTGGAGCAAAGACGAAAGATACTGCCTTTGAAGATTCTCAAATAAAACAGTCCAGTAATTAAAAGCAACTTTCACATGGGTTTCCTTTACATTTCTGTCCCTGTATTCACAGCCATGCTATTATGTTTACATTGATCAAATATCAACATTTCTTCAAAGATAAAATGCACACACATATAGGAAATAGAAGTGAGCTTTACATTCTTGTTAGACATTCTCCAACTCCAGGACAGCCCCAAGCCTAAGCAACCCCTTAAGTAGGCCAATATTTGGGTGAAAGTTTGCAGCGCAGCCACTGTACAGGTTAACCGAAGCTTCACTATGAAAAAGTTGTATCAGCCAAGTGTGGTGTCTCACGCCTGTAATCCCAACACAGATTGCTTAAATCAATCTGCATTCCAACTTCCAAATGTTTTTGCTGTTGTTCTGTCTTCCATTTTGTGATACATATGCTTTAAAAAACAAAAACCCTTAACATCTATGTATTTCACTGTATGTAATTTTTTTTTTTTTTTGAGAGAATCTTGATTGTCACCCACGCTGGAGTGCAGTGGCCTGATCTAGGCTCACTGCAACCTCCACCACCCTGGTTCAAGCAATTCTCCTGCCCTTGGCCTCCTGAGTAGCTGGGACTACAGGTATGTGCCACCACACCTGGCTAATTTTGTATTTTTAGTAGAGACATGGTTTCACTACGTTAGCAAGGCTGGTCTCAAACTCCTGACCTCAGGTGATCCGCCCACCTCAGCCTCCCAAAGTATTGGGATTACAGGCGTGAGCCACTGCAGCTAGCCGTAATTATATATTTAAAAAATTAAGTTAGCTGGGCATGGTGGCTCATGCCTATATTCCTAGCACTTTGGGAGGCCGAGGTGGGCAACTCACAAGGTCAAGAGATTGAGACCATCCTGGCCAACATGGTGAAACCCTGTCTCCACTAAAAATACAAAAATTAGCTGGGTGTGGTAGCACATGCCTATAGTCCCAACTACTCAGGAGGCTAAGGCAGGAGAATCACTTGAACCCCGGAGGCAGAGGTTTCGGTGAGCTGAGATCTCGCCACTGCACTCCTGCCTGGACAAAAGAGGAACATTCCATTTCACACACACACAAAAAAAAATTTAAAAATTCTTCAAAATTTTCATCTCAAGTAGTTCCAGAGTCAGAAGACTGCCTCAAGAGCCAGCAAGTGACTTCTAATATTTACTTTTTGCTAGACTGTTACTACTCCATAGCCCTGCTTTGTTTCAATGTTAAATCTGTAGTATCAGTTTAGACCGAAACTGTAACCCTGGGTTCATACCAACCCTTCATATATACCTCTATTTATTTCCTGTCAGAAATGTGAAAAGTTTCCTGTCAGAATCTGAAATTCAACATCAATTCATTAACTTCAGAGTTAAGGTATTTCAGACACAAAAATAAAATTTTAGAGATTCAGCTATTTGGTTTTTCAGATACATACCAGGTCTCTGTAGACTCTGAATGTATTAGACTACCTATATGTTACCATGACTTTAAATCTGTGATTTTAGGATGTCTTTTACCATCTGGTTGTAGAAAATCAACATAAGGTCAAGAGATTGAGGCCATCCTGGCCAACATGGTGAAACCCCATCTGTACTAAAAATACAAAAATTAGCCAGGCGTGGTACCGGGCGCCTGTATTCCCAGCTACTTGGGAGGCTGAGGCAGGAGAATTGCTTAAGCCTGGGAGGCAGAAGTTGCAGTGAGCTGAGATCGTACCATTGCCCCACAGCCTGTGCAAAAACAGCGAAACTCCATATCGATAAAGAAAGAAAGAAAAGAAAACCAACATGCTATAAACATGGTCATTTTAGAGAAAAAAAGATTTAGCATCTTTGGAGAATCTGCGATGTAGCGTCCATTTCTGGCTCTACCAATAACAGAGTAGGAATTGCTAAAGCAATGAGAAGGCTACAAAAGTATAATTTGAGAATGAATGTATTTCCCTAAGAGAATGTTCAACTCAGCCTGATGGCCTATTTACCTTAATTTTGAAAATATTACCCACATCCCAAAAAAAAGTCATCACAAGTGTTTCATCATAATGGGTAAGAAAAGTACATGTCACACTGTTACCACCTTATCAGCTGACCCTTCCTAAAGCATCTACCAAATTCTTTAAATCAGTGACAGAGTACAATTTAACAAAGAAAAGAAAAATGAACTAAAAATTCACAAAGACATGCTTAATATCGAGAATGCAAGGTGATCTACTTCAATAAGATGTTTGTATGGCAAGTAGAGAAACACAGAACCCCCTGTTCTCAAACTGAGCTCCACAGGAAGCTGGCTAATAACACAAAGTAAATGATCATGCATACCAGGATGGAGGAGGGAAAGGCAGGCCTGTGTATACGGCACTGGGTTTATGACAAGCTGGAATGAAAGCAAAATATTGTTAAATTTCAATTTTTCTATGATTTTTGAAGGATTCGCATAATAACCTACCAAAAAAAAAAAAAAAAAGCCTGATTTATAAAGTGCTATAGGCCGAGTGCAGTGGCTCATGTCTGTAATCCCAGCACTTTTGAGAAGCCGACGCGGGCAGACCACTTGAGGTCAGGAGTTAGACACCAGCCTGGCCAACATGGTGAAACCCCGACTCTGCTAAAAATACAAAAATTAGCCGGGCATGGTAGCGGGCACCTGTAATCCCAGGTACTCGGGAAGCTAAAGCAGGAGAATCGCTTGAACTCGGGAGGTGGAAGTTGCAGTGAGCGGAGAAGACCGCGCCACTGCACTCCAGCCGGGGCGTCAGAGTGAGACTGTCTCAAAATAAACAAATTAATAAATAGTTTTGTTTTTTTTTTTAAAGTAAGAGTGAACCAAGGTGTAAATGAAGCCTCCCTCCCTATCACCCTCCTCTACTCTCCTAGAAAAGATCACCTGGGAAAAAGCTATCTTGAGTAAAGATCAAAACTGATTTAAGCCATCCCTCATATAACCAATAACGTGCTACCAATAAGCGTGAGACATGTAGATGGCTAGGAGACAGTCTCCCTTCTTCCTGATGCTGCCCACCCAAAGCAGAGGCTGCAGTTAGGCTCTGACCACACAAGAGCCTGGCATCTCCAGGCACCCTTCTCCATACCAAGCTTAGCTATTCCGGGCAAAATGGGGGGGGAACAGAATTAGGAACCTTTCATGAAGTGTTCTGGATATTCTTAAATTTAATCATATTCTCAAAACATTTCATAACATCTGTCTTCTTCATTTAATTCTCCCAACATTATGATTTATATTGGTAGAAGAAAGTCCCATTTTACATGCGGTGAAAAAGGTCGAAATGTCTAGCATGAGATGAAAAACACTACCAGACAGCAGGGTAGGATTTCACCTCGTCTGTTCTGGCACTAAGTCCAAAACTCCCACACCCTCTCTGCATCCCTCTTCCCACGACAGTGGCCACTAGGCGTAGAGCGGGGGCTGATACCGCCCAGCGCAGACCGAAGGGAAAAGACGGCTCCCGCCGCGCTCATGCCCAGCCAGGATCTCTGGAAAACGGTCCCGAGAGCTCGGAGGAAGGAATCAAGGCCGGAGGGAGGAAGGGCAGTCCGAGCAAATAAATAAAAACCCTGGACTTCCAGGGCGGCCCGAGCTGGAAGCCTGTGACAGCCGATTCTCTTTCCAGAGCTTTCAAGGCTTCAGGAGGAGCTGGGGGTGTGGGGCGAGGGGGGGACGGCGCCAGCTTCCCGGTGCCTCAGCCGCACAGCTCGGCTGGAGCAACAACGCAGGGCAGCGGCCCCTCGGGACGAGCTCGCGCGTCTCCCCCGAAAAGGCAAGCTGTGGCCGGGACGGACCGCGGCCTCCGGCTCGGGCGAGGGAAGGGCGGCTTGAGGCCTCCGGGCCGGGCGCTGAGGTGGCGCGCACCGGCGCAGGAATGGCCAGCCAGCCCAGCCAAGCGATCGCTACGTCCGGCACTCGGCCGCCCGCGCCCCCGCTTACCTGCCCGCTCGCTCCCGGCACCTGTCCCGCCGCCGGCCCAGACGCGGCAGCAGCCTGGAGCGCGGGCCCCGCCTTCGCCAGCTCCAGAGGAAGCCCAGCCAGCGAGTAGGCGTCCGGCCTGCTCGCCACGGCCACCGCCGCCGAGCTTCCTCTGAAGCAGCTGCCGCGACGCCGGCGCTGGCCTACTGCGTCACCTCCTCCGCGCCCTTCCGCCTGTGGGGAGGGGTGGTCCTGGCACCGCCCCACTTCCGCTGTTCCCGCCCCGCCTCCCGACCCGGAGCCGTTCTGCCTTCGCGTGTCACAAAGTCCTCAGCCCCGGTCTCCCTCGGAACGCGCAGGGATGAGAGCCGCGTTCAGGCGCTGCGAAGCGCGTTTGAGACTTCTGTTCAGCCCCTTCTCCAGTTTTTAACCCCAAAGGTCTAAATCAGACCGCAGCTAGTGTACACCCCTGCCCTTCACTGATCCCGTCACCCCTGCGCCGAAAGCAAAAGACCCATTCCAGCTCTGGACGTTGTGAGGCCTGTCCCAGGCATCGTCTCCTCTGTGGTTTTCCCATTGATCTTGTCCCTGGTATTGTGATTGGCCTCTTTATGTGTCCTACCCGCCCCAACTGTGAAAGCTTTCCAAAATTACAAGCCAATGTCCTGATAGGTAAAAACATAATAATAGCAGATTTATGGCAGAAGATGAGTTCAGTTTTGGACATACTCAATCTGGAAGAATAAAGTGGAGGTGACTGCAGTGGAATACGAAGGGTGTTTCTGAGCACCTGTGTAGGCAATAAAGATATAAACTGATGGTGGAGAAGATAAAATCTATAATTGGCCTGGAACAGTTGCTCGCCTGTATCCCCAGCACTTTGGGAGGCCAAGGCAGGCAACTCACAAGTTGATCAAGACCAGCCTGGCCAATATGGTGAAACCCCGTCTCTGCTAAAAGTACAAAAATCAGCGGGGTGTGGTGGTGTGCGCCTGTAATCCCAGCTACTTGGGAGGCTGAGGCAGGCGAATTGCTTGAACCAGGGAGTCGGAGGTTGCAGTGAGCCAAGATCGTGCCATTGCCCTCCAGCCTGAGAAACAGGGCGAGACTCTGTCTCAAAAAAAAAAGGAAAGAAA